AGGAATTCCACAAACCTGAGAAAACAGATACTACAGGCCTACCTTTCATAAGCAATATTACTGCTCAAGTTCTCTAATCTTGAAAGAAACTACCTGGTGCCAATAGTTAAATTGCTCAATTTCCTATTTAGACATTAGGAAAGTACCTCCATGAAAAAGGGGGGTGAGGATGATCATTTCTGATGTGTATTAGTTTCAGTCTGATCAATTCAAGAACTGGCATAAAAAGGTGGGTTATTTAGTTGCCCCTAGTCTCTGATCCAAGTCCGTTGACAAGTTAACATGCTCAGCCTTAGAACCACTATCCTGGGGTCAAGTGGCCTTGAGTGATTGCAAACTTACTACAACAAACTGGCCCCAAACCAGACTGTGCTTCATATCCCATCCAGTCATCCACCCAGGTCATTTTACCATCAGCTGCCATCAAGCTATGTCCCTTATTGAGCAGGAACTATAATCTTTACAACCACAGAAAAATATGTCAAGTTAAACTATCAAAAAACCTTGGTTGAATACCACAGGGATAGCTATGAAAATCCATTTATAATCGCCCATTCAAGTATATCAGAAAACCAAGTCAATTAACATGGAATCATTCTTTACATAGTTAGCCAATTTGAGAAATGGCATATATTAATACAGATTTGGTACAGGTTTTTTAGGAAAGAATGTAGCAGTCACTGTTGTTTTAAACATCGATGACATATTGAAAAATTGTCCAATAAGAAGATATGGTGTGGTGCATTTAACTTATATATGAATAAATTTTAATCTTGAAATTATACTTTCTTGTTTCAGTTACAGAAGTATTAGACTTCTGATATATATATACATATGTATATATATATATATATATATATATATATGAAATTATTGTTATTATTAACATCACTACAGGCATACTTCACTTAATAGTAGTGATCTTCCAAAAACATGATTGCAGATGAAACAGTATTGCAGTAGTAGGGTATGGCACTAATATCCAGAGTCATGGCCATAAATGGAAAATATCTTCCTGGGAAGCCAAAATTTTACTATAAAGGATTTAAATTGATGTTTATAAAGCAAGGATATTATAACAGGATTGCTCTGGAGGGTGAGACTAAGACTGCTTGGATGGCTAACAAACCTAAGATGTTGTAATCATCATTAAATGTATGCCTGAGGTTTGGGAATACAAACAGCAAAATAGAGAGGATGTTGGCCAAAGGACAAGAATCACAGAATTCAACAATATACGTGGAGTGAGATGCCAATTCTTTCCTCACCAGGAATCTGCTAAACCCTATGTTGATATCTAGCTAGCAAATAGAGTGATATATACAATCAGTGGCTTTAAAAAAACAACTATAGACATGAATCTATATATACATGATCATGTGTGTACATATATGCTTATCATATCATGCATCCATCATCATGCATGCATTATACACATAATTGAACCCCCTGAGGTAGTGCCAGGCAAGACCCACATTCCCACTCCCCATCACAGGCCTGCAGCAAGAACCAGTCAAAGTCAGCCTCCCTTCCTCTTCCCCACTTCTTCCACTGCAGACTGCCCCAGACCCCACAAAGGTACTTGAAAGGCTTCAACCAACCACAGGTTATGCCAAGAGGGGTGATCACCCCATCTCACCCCAGAATCTATCCCCAATTTTCCTGGAAATCTCCTCCCTCTTATATTTTCTCTTTTTTTTTTATCAATCAGAAAAGATTTATTAAGAACTAACTGTGTGTCAGGTACCATGATGGGTACTCAGAAGATGAAACAATGAAGTGATCTCTGCCTTCAAGCAGCTTACATTCTGTTGGAGGTAGAAAATGTGAATATAAATAAACGCGTCCAAGGCAAATAAATACAAAGTAAATGGGGGGGGGGCACTGGCCACTAGGGCAATCAGGAGAGGCTTCATGTCCATCTCTCTTATAATTTCACAATGACACTTCCACCCACCCAATCCCCACTCCTGCTGGAGTGAATCCAGAATCCCCTCTACACTCCAACCATTAGGACCACCTCCCACTTCCCAATGGTAGTGAACAGCTCCCATCAGACAGACACTCCACTGGCCTAAGGATTCTGGGGCCTTGCCATTCACACTGTACCACTTGAAGGGTGAGTTCCTTAAGAGCAGCAGCTGTCTTATTTTTCTATTTCTATTCTAAGCATTTCACATAGCACTTGGCACAGAAGCCTTTAGTAAACCCTTTTTCATTCATTCTTTTAAAAAAACTGGAAGAGTGAATCAATCAAAGTGGCAATAACTTTGAACTTACAGAAGTTTAGTTAAAAATGTAAATGTTCTCATGACTTTTTTCTGTACTTTTATGCTTTACATTTAGAAGCAGTTAGGTATAACAATTAAGTTAATGCTTCTTTGCTACTCCTAATAAGGGCACAGACCTTATAAGTGAGCTATTTGTCTAACCAGTTTATTGTTTCTCTGATCCATAACAAATGAAGAGCAAATATTCAAACTGCGCTGGTTGCTCTGGATTGGCTGAAGAACAATATAGTTGGGAAGTAAAGATGTATTAGACACATTATTGAAGGTTGTGGGTCAGAGCAATTTTATGTAAGGTATGCCTGTCCTTGCTTGAGTAACCCAACCTCAGTCAAATTACCTTTTTTTTTTGGTCCCTTCCTTTGACAAAGGTTATATCTACACAAAGCTACTGATTCAAATATTTAGCCCTTTTTTTCTTATAGAGCTCAATACAGTAATAAAAGCTTTATACAACATTTATGTTTGAACAAACTGATGCATAGTTCCACCTCCTAGATTCTGAATAAGCCATGGAACTTTGAGGAGCTAAGTAGAGTGCTCAAGGTGACTAGATAGGTGATTAAATTTGTGTAATGTATTTACAAAGTTATCAATCTGCTTTTTAAAGAGCTGTCCCTGTGGTTTTACCACATGTGTCAATCAGCTCCAAGCACCAGATAATCAGATAATGAGTATAAGCTTAAATCAAGCAAGAGTCAAAACCACTTGATTGTGTTAATGTGGCAGAATCTTCTGTTTTGAATAAAAATGTGATGTTTGGTAACCATTAAATCATTGCTCTCAATGTTTTTCTCACTTCCAAAACATTGTTGGGGTCATTATGTGGACATTAGACACAGACATCCAGATTTACAATTAACAGTGACAACTGAAGTCAAGGTCTACACTAAAATTTCCATATGTTCTAAGTGTACTGCCTAAAAAAGCTGATTCATTTGTGTGCAGTTCAGGTGTTTGCCCACATTTAATTGAGGCTCTCTTTGATTTGGGAGACAGGTGAAAGGCACCTCCCTAACTTGCACAAGGAACAACATAATTTATGATGGCAATTTCCTGTGCCCATATTTAAAAAAGACATATTGAGATTTAGGGTAAGTTTGAAAATTTACCCCAAATTTATTCTTTATCTGGCCCCAATTTGTTACAATAACTTTAAATGTTTATTTTGTGTGTGATTTGATAAGCATACAAATCTGTAAAAGAGAAAAATACTAGAAATACAGGCTTTTTGACTGGTAGTTGGGTTCTTCAAGACACCCAAAGAGGCTCCATCCAGACTTTTTAGAAACAGGGAACAACTTTAAATTACGAGGGCCTTCTCATATAGCACTGTGGGGTGAGCATATTTTACCTCAAAGGATCCAGATTCTAAAATTAACTTTAGGACACACATGTAAAATATTGAGTAGACATCTATGGTATCTTTTCTGATGGATTCTTCAGAATCAAAATATTCATCTTATGATATAATCAGGTTTCTCGGGCTCCCTTCTTTTTTTCTGTTTTGGGGGAGTCATTTGGGGCTAAGTGATCAGATTTAAACTCAAGTTCTCCTGACTCCGGAACCAGTGCTCTATTCACTTCACCACCTAGCTGACCTACCCTTCAATTCTTAAGCTCAACAGTTTGTACTAACATAGCTCTAAAGCTAGAAGGCACCTCAGAGACCATATAGTCCAATACATTCATTTTACAGAAGAGTAAATTGAAGCCCAGGGAAGCAAAGCAACCTGTTTAAGGTCACACAGGTCATAAGCTTCAGAGGCAGGATTTAAAGTCAGGTCCTATGACTCCTGAGTTAAACTCCCCTATGTCATAATGCCTCCAATGGAGCTAGGTCATTGGCTAAACCAAGTTCTGAAAATACCATTAGAAAACAGAATATCAAAAATGGCTTTCTAAAAGTGCCAACATAATAAAAATACATTCCTGTTCCAACTGCACCCATCTTGAGCTGCCATAGAAAAATGTTGCCTAGAGCAAGTGCAGACTATGAAAATGAAAAAGGTTTTATTTCACTCCCTCTCCGAACAATATTAACTAACCATTCATATGTATGTATGTGTATGTGGGTTTTAAAAAAACTAGCAGAAATAGCAGGAGTTAGGTTATAAATAGTTGACTAAAAATTAAGCAGCTAGGGGGCACAGTAGATAGAATGCTAGGCCTGGATTCAAGAAGACTTGAGTTTAAATCTGACCTAAGACACTTACTAGCTGTGTACCCCTGGGCTAATTACTTAATCCTGTTTGCCTCAGTTTCTTCATAATGAGCTGCAGAAGGAAATGGCAAACCATTCCAATATCTTTGCCAAGAAAACCCCAAACGGGGTCACAAAAAGTAGGATATGACTGAAACAACTAATAGCTATTACTATATTTTCATATGGAGAAGTTATCTTCAGAAATGTAAAGTAGAAAAATCATGTCTGCCCACTGGGAAAAGGCTAAGATTTTAAAAATACATATATTTGAGAGACAAGGACTACAAATGGCTGATCCATTACTTTACCATGCCACCATTCCTAAGGGTCCTGCTTATGACCTATCAGGGCCCCATAAATAAAAGTGAAATACAAGATAGAATGTGACCAAACAGAAAATAAGATTTCATTCCAAAACCGAAAACTAGGGGCATCGAGGAAGACAGAAGGGGGAAAACCCTCATCAATTTTCTACATTGCTCAGAGCAGTAACTTTCAATACTGACCTGGGAGAGCGGGCATTCTTTGGCTAACGTGCTCTGATTCATCTCTTTGAGTAGCTCCTTTAAGGCATTGCGGACTGTGGCATGGTTCCACTGCTCTGCTGGCAGATCTTCCAACTTTGAACAACTGAAAAACACGAGGGGAAGAATAAGTGAAACAGAAATGTCTACTGCACAACGACTTGTTTTCTTAACAAAAGACCTTCATAGTCCTCTTGGACTGAGACTTTTCCTTCAAGGTGAACTGTTGTTAGGAATTGACCTTGCCGGGAATAGGAGAATGACCATATATGCCAAGAATGGGATCCAGTTCTACTTAAATGATGTAACATGTGTACGAAGCTGCTTCCTCTGGGGTTTGATGGAGACCAGTGCGGTCTGTTTAAATCAGGCCACACAAATGCCTGGGAAAAGCAGTCACTTTAGACATTAGGCAATGCAACTTTTAGGATGGGGAAGGAGGGAAAGGAGGAGGGAAAAGATATTTTAATTAATCTGGAGATGAAAAATGAGATGGCTATATGGGCCAAAACATATGGAACAGGATTTTTGTCATTTTGAATTATTGAATACAGTGTAAGAAAGTTTACAGAAATTCTTAAATCCTCACCCCCTCTAGTACAATTTGAAGACTCTAGTTACACATTCACAGGGTGTCTGTTGAGGTAAGTAGCATCAGAACATTCCTACAAAAAACGGGGTTGCTAAGCCCATGTTAATAGTCTACTTGCATATTTATTTGATGTTTGTAGTTGCAGAGCATGTGACTTATATTATCTCATCTGGGTCTTACATAAACTGTGTTTAAGAAAGTTGTTCAAATATTACTGACCTCTTTTTATAGATTAAGGAAACTGAGGCTCAGAAGTATTTGTGACTTGCCTAAGGTCCCTCTAATAATTGGCAGAGCATATACTAGTGTCCACAGCTCTTGATTTCCAACTTCAGCATTCATCCACTATACTACTTGCTTTTCATGAACCCAATTTAACCCCCCCATGCCAATGGGACAAAAAAACACAAACAAACACAAATCATTAGTAAATGGCAGGTGATGTCACTGAGGGTGATATTACCAGAAATATCTAAAAGGGAAAAGGATGGATCTACTGAAAAGATACAGCACTAAGGCAATATGGCAAAATACAGAATAAGTTTAGCTGCATAGTTGTTCAGGATGTCAGAAAAAAGGAAGTAATTGCCAATTCAAGTCAGAGAAATAGTTTTCCTCCTCTTTCCTACAGACAAAGGAAAAAGTCTCAAGCTCTCAGCCAGTCATTCTAAGCATACTGTAAAAATACAGTGTAGACCCTTCAAAATCCAAATCCTGCAAAAAGGAGAGATGTTTATTTTCCAAATACAATGTGCTAAGCATTTAATCAGGCCTGGAAGACCCATTAAATTAGAGGTTATGGAAGTTCCCTTTCAGGGCTGAAGATCTTCAATGATTGATCAAGCTTCCTCCAGGCTCCCACTGCAGTGCTTCACAAAACAAAATATAAAACAATTGGAATGTAAACTGTAAAGATGCTTGATGAAGCACCTTCTTCCCTTCATTTTCCTTTTCATTTCATCAAAAGCCCTGAAATTAATGAAGACAGGATGTGCTAATCTCTGTAGAAATGCTATGATCGACAGAGCAGCTCAGAGAATAGGAAAGGACAGATGTTCAGAGACACCCACCTTTGTAATTGGATTTTCAATGTCACAACATGATAGACGTCTTGTAGCATGTCGGCTACTGTCGCATCTGGTGCATCAGTCACATAACTGAGGGGGAGAGGATTCCACCTCCCTAGTTTGATTATTCCTGAGCAGGAAAGAAAAAGATAATAAACATTCATCTGCTATTTATTAAACCTTTTCAATGTTATGGAAGTCATACAATAGTTACCATTCAAGGACTGATTCAGAGATATTTTTATATCACAGAAAATAAGCAATTTCTTTCTTCCTGACAACTGAGCCCACCTCTACAGGAAGGTAAGGATAAAAGATGAGGTTTGCAATCACTGTTCTTAATGTTTTTTCCTGTTTGTCTAATTGATTAGAAAACTAAAAAGATATTAAAAATAAAAAGTCTTCCTGCCCTTCCCCTTCTAACTTAAGACCAACACTAAATATTCTGGACTACTGATTTCACAGACCAAAAAAAAAAAATTAAGTAAATACAAGATTTGGTTTTGAATTGAACAAGAAAAATTCCTGTGTGTGGGCTTAGCACGCAGTTACATCCTGACTGTGGTGTGATTCCCAGTGAGAATAGCATTTGGAATTGATGAAGTAGTTAGAGTTCACTTCCAGATCTGTATTTCACCAGCCAGAGGGTTTGCTTTCCTTGGCAAAAAGCAGCAGCACAATACTTGACCACAGATCAAAAAATAGCAGAGTTGCCATCGAGTTCCTTTTTATACCCAAGCTCTTTGTAGTGACAATAGCACCCTTTCTCTGCATGTTTCCTAAAGGAGACTGTAAACACATGCCAACAGAAGAAATAATATGGTGCATGGGCAAAAAAGCTGGATCTGGAGGCAGAGGCCCTGAGTGTGAAGCTTAGCTCTGCCACTGACAATCTGTGTGACCAAACATGAGCAAGTATTTCATCACCATGGACCTGTTTCCTCATTTGAAAAAATGAGAAGATTAAACTAGATGATCTCCAAGGTCTATTCTATTGTCTCTGAGGTAGATTTAATAAAATTTTTACATATTTTACACTATTCATCAAATCAGATCAAATGAAATAGCATTTGTAAAGTGTTTAGCACTGTGCCTGGTATGCAGTAGGTGCTTAATAAATGTGTGTTCCCTTCCTTGCCCCTTTCCTCCCCCCATTTAGAAACCCTCATAACAGAAACTACCTTCATGAAAGAGTCTAAAAGTTGTTTGTTTATTTTGGGGGGGTTGGTTTTAAAGGGAGAGAAGAAAATGTGAGATTATTATTGAGATGATACTGTCATGGCCAATTCATGATGGTTGGCGTTCATGTAGTACTGATGAAGTTAAAGATATAGCACTTCTTTTCTCCAGACAAGACAGCTTTTTTATTCATATGAAACACCAATCTGATGGTCACAATTTTATTAGAAACTACTTATTCTATGCTACAATTAAGTTTCATTGATAGATTAGAAATAAGCCAATTGAGTGGTTTAATATCACAAGTGATGTCATTATAAATGCAGCTCTATAAACTACTAAACCTAAGTTTTCATTATCAAAGATAGAAGGCACCTGAATACTGAAATAGATTTAATAGAACATCACATTGCATAAATATCAAGCTACTGGGCAATACTGCAATAATAGGAAATGAACTTTCTGGAAAGGATAGGGCCTGTCCAAGACTGAATAAATGAATGTGTAATGCTTGACATAATGCTTGAAAACAGGGAATAAACAGAACAAAAATATTAAAATAATGCACTGTTTCAGTATTAAGATTTAACAATCTGGTGCTGAATATGCTGCAGTATAAATAGTGCCTGGACTCAGATTCAGCAAAGTAACACAGATCTCATTCATATCACCGTATGTCTCTAGTTCTGGCTCCTTAAGACATATTTCCCTTGCCAAGAAAAGCTGTTTTTCTTGTGGGGATAGTTTTCTTAACATTCTCTCTCATGACAATGAAAAGTGCATAGCACACAACATACATCAGCCAAGAAGTGAACATCAAGAGTCCACCAGCCAGTCACACAGTGAGACATGGTTTAGTTGCTTTTATTCTTATAAGTTATCTCAAAGTCAAAAACAAGCCCCCCTAAAAAGATAACACAAAACATTTCAAAGAATACATACATACCTATTTTTAAAACCACTCCTCAGTTTTAAATGTCTTTTTTTTAAAGTTAGTATGCATCCCACAGATAGCCCATAAGATGCATTTAAATTGATCCCATTTAAAAAGCCTTTTTTTTCCCATTCAATTACAGACAGCACAAAAAGAGAATTACATCTGCAAATATGTGCTACTGACAGTATTGGAGGGAAAGGAGAAGAAAGGGAGGGATGATTACTAAGGTTATTTCAGTTACTAAGAATGAATTCCACAGTGGAAATGATCCTTTGTACTAAAAATCAGACTGCAAAGCTCTATGAGAAATAACATGCAAATTACCTTACAGGAAATTTTGACTTTTACTTAGACTGATTCCCTATCTTCTTAAGGACACTGTTTTGGCTGCACACACACACACACACAAAACTTAATGTCTTCACATAGAACACCTGCCTCAGGTTCTTTACATCTTGGAATGAAGCTGCTGACACATGTTATTTTCTCAAGCAACTTCACGTGGTATGTGCATTTCCCCCCCATAACATTTTGCACTTATCGACGTAGTGGTTAGGAGCCTTGGTTTTAGAGTAGTCTATAGGTAAAGGATCTTAGGTCAATGCAGTAATGTTGTCCAGCTTGTACTTGCTTATTTGAACAGATTTTTTTTCCCTCTGAATGTTTTTTACCTAATCTACATGTGCAAATCCTTTTTATAGAGTTATATTTTAGAATTCTCCTTCATTTCATACACTTTAATAACACATTATTTGAAATACTAATTAAGTTTTAGTCTGGGGAATTTATTACTGTTTAAAGAGAAGATGAAGTCTTTCAAAAGATGTTTACTCAAGGACTTTTTATGGGTTCATTAACTATTCCTCCTTAATTCACTCATTTACCTTTCAAGGACCTCCTGGTTTCTTTAGAAAAGTATAATAAAAGGTCCAACATCAATTATCCCCTCTGTTTCCAGCATCTTCAATCTTTCCCTCTTCACTAGTCCTTTCTCTTCTGCCTAACATGCTCAAGTTTCTGCTATTCTAAAACGTTTTAAAATTCCTTTCTACAGAACCTTCTGCACAAACTACCATTTTTTCTTTCCTAACTTTCTGCTGCCAAACCCTTAGTTTACATTCATCATTTCCACTCCTTGATCTCCACTCCCTGTTTTGTTCCCTACTGTCTAATTTCTGTGCATTCTACTTCTGAAACTACTCTCTCAAAGGTCATCACCAATGATTTCAGAGGAACCATATTCAAAAGCCTTCTCTCTCCGCCTCTACCGCATGGGATCAAAGAACCTAAGAGTGGGAAAGGAACTGAGATGAAATCTAGTCCAACCCATAACTGAATAAGCCTCAAGGCCACATGTGGACCTTTAGATCCTCAAGTGTGGCCCTTTGACTGAATACAAACTTCACAGAACAAATCCCCTTAATAAAAGGATTCTGTAAAACTTAGACTCAGTCAAAAGGCTGCACCCAAGGACCTAGAAGGACACACGTGGCTTTGAGGCTGCAGATTCCCCACCCCTTCAGTTGGCATTCCCTAAGATTCTGGCCTCCTCAACCATCTTTTCTCATTCCAAGATCACATCAATATCTACATTTCATGGATGGCCTCTATGTAGAAACTCAAAGTCAGAAAGAGGTCCTGACTTCATTCCTGAGCCCTAGTCACACATTCCCAACTTCCAAATAGATATTTCCTTCTGAATGTTTTGCCAGGTCCTCCAATTACACACTTTCAAAACTGAACTCATCCACCACCCCAAATCAAGTCAGCCTGGTGACTTCCTCATTTCTAATAAAAGTGCCATCATTCTCCTGGTTACTTTGACTAAAATATGGGAATGATCATAATCTGTGCTTATGAAGAAATACTTAAGAAGTATGACCTTTCAAATTGTTACTAGTTCACACATAAACAAAACTCCTTGATCAACTTTATTGTTTCTAACAGGAATTTATCACCATCATTAAATATTTATTAAGTTCCTATGTGCTGGGTACTATGATAGGTGGATAGGTACTGTTTGAAATCTTTGATTCCACATTACAGAGCTCAGTTTAGGAGCTGAAGTTCAACAAAATAGTTTTTAATCACCTTAATTTAGTACAACATAAATTAAAATCACATATGTTCAGACAAAAACTTTCAAAAAAATCAAGTACCCAGCCATATCTTAAATATCTGTCAGTTACATGGCTGATATTTATGTTAAAAAATAATTGTGCTTATCTGAGTGATTTTTACCCCAAGAAACTAAATATTTGACTAAATGGCTATAAGTTATTACAATCAACCTCTTACATGCAAAAATAATGATAACTGGTTCATTTTAACTGTTAGACATTAATTAGCCTTTTGGTTTTTTTATTTAATACCACTTTCTGAGGATGAATTAAAATCCACATATAATTTAACCAAAAGGTGAAAGAGCTTTTATCATCCAGTAAATATTATATATTCAATTATTTTTGAGTGTCCATAATATATTACACTGTTTTAGGGTTTGCAGGGGATAATGCATACATACATATATACATGTTATATATATTCCCTGCTCTCAAGAACTTTCCTATGCCTCTGAACTTTTAATTTATTCAGTTTTAACATTTTTCAAGGAACTTCCATATATGTATGTATGTATGTATGTATACATATACGCATATGTATACATACATATACAGAAAGAGATCGAGGGGTATATGTGTATAAGTGCCTTGAACATACATAATATGTGTGTATATGTAAAGTCTGATTTTGTCCTAAAGTCTTGAACTTTTAAAACATAATGACTCCAAGCAAGAAATAATAATCTAAAAAGAGGTCTGACCAATTGCTTTCATGCATTCATTCAATACAGTTTTGAAAGTCACTATGATTAATATCAACAAATTCAGTCTTTGCCCTCAAGGAACATGCCCTATAGTAAAGTAGTTGATCTGTGCTAACCACATAGCCTAGACACTAATAAAATATTGTCCCTGCAGGAGAACTCAGATTATTTACTCCAACACCTCTCA